TAATTCACGCTTATCACCTCGCTGGCTATAAACTGCTTTCTGTTAAAGAGTTGCGTATATTTGATAATGTAACATCATTCATACTTCAACAACTGCTGACCTAAACCTTTACGACCAGCCCAGCAAAAACGACCTTCATAATTAATTTATGCAGTTAACGTATTTTATTGAGTTTTCAAATTACACTTTGTTAGACCTTAAATCGAATCATAAGCTCTTAACTGTGATGTAAAATCGGAATTATTCAGAAAGGCTTAATTTATTCAATCATGAAGCAAAACATAACTGCATTATATTTTGCAAACAAAATATATTGGTTAGAATAGATGAAGGCATTTTTAAGGCTAACGGACTAAGCATAATCCTATACGTGCCATTTGCAATGAATTTAGCCTATACAAATGACTACTTACTATAAGTCAAGAAATCGGTAGACAAATAACAATCAGACAGGTCAGGAGTCGAAGTTAGGCTTAATATTCTGCCTGCCCCATATTAATTATTTGAAGTTGAGACGCGATACGAACCACCTACGAATTATTTCCCCCAACAAACAATTTAGTTCCTGCTCTCTCTTTTCACTCTATCCGCATCCTAAGTTTCTTATTTCATTTTTACAAAAGTTAAGGAATACTTAAAGAAATATCAAGCTTTTATTATTGAACGATCTCAGCTTTGCATAAATATCACCTTTGTTTGAAAAAATTAAACATTTATATTCATTTACATTCAAGCAAAGTTATACAGGCCTCATTTATTGCATATTTAAAATATCAAATATACCACCGAGAAGACAAGTTAATTGAATAAATTGGCAATTAAAGATGTTGAATTAGGATTAAATTAAGTATTTCACTGCTATTACAACGTATCTTCAACATTCTCCATACATATGGTAAAATAAATATTGCGCACGGGTAACGAATGAATTTGTAATAGATGCCTTCTTAATTAATCTTTACGCTGCAGCATTTATAATTAAATTTGCGGTTCACTTCGAAATCCACCTGTAGCAGAGATATAGCATTTTAAAATACTTCTTGATGAACTCAGATTCAATTAAAGTATTAGAGGAAATTCAAAATCGCCTCATTTCTTGCAAGACAATTTTTCCCCAAAAACTCTTTATAGAATGTAAGGTTTCGTTAATAATTGAGCAGTTATCGGCAGTCTCAATATTAATTACATTAATTAATAGTCGGATGAGATGTATATTTTTAAATGCACTTTTGTTTTAATTCAAAAATTTATGCAATCTAACATAAAATTATTCCAACATTACGGAAATGTATAATTCAGAATATTTGCATGAATTCTTTGTCAGTATTCAAGGTCAAATTCTCTTGGTCTTTTCATTTTAGCCACCTGGGCGCATTTTTTCAGTGTACATTGGCTGAATCAAATATTTAGACAAAATTACCCGTTTCTCAACTCGATTTGCAATGGATTTCTACCTTTTGTTCAAATACACCATGCAAGGTCATCAAAATTCATTTTATTTTTCCAGAATTAATAGTACGCTATGTTGGATTTCAATGATTATTGTCATTATTTTACAAATAAATTCAGGAGATTGTTCAAAATGAAACCAATTATGCATCAGAGCAGTCAGAAATTGTTTTAGGTATTTAAATTGGAATTACAATCTTTGTGTACTCAATCGATGATGGTTTGAAAACACTTGAATGGTAAAACAGTTTAATTTTATAAATCAAATTTAGGTAGATCCAATATTCCATAAAATTACGCTTTTAGAACAATTATTCAATAATTATGTTTACTTATGTTGAATATAATTATATTTCAATGCATTTTACTACCGGATATCTCACCATTGAAATTTTTTGTGGTTGAAAAATTGGCCTCAACGTTTTTTTTCTATAAAAGTAAGAAAGCCTGTACGCACAAATTGTTATAAGGCACTTTTAGTGGCAAAAATATTGAGGAACTTGATTATTTAGCTTGCGAATGCCGGGATATGGGATAATTCATTACCGACGTGAATAGTAACGGTTCTTCTATTGTTTTTTCTTGTTTTTAAGCTTTTGACTTGAATATTTTTCTATAATTATTTATCTAATTGAAATTGTCTTAATAATAACAGCCTAATTCACACCTTACATGTTCAACTAATTAGCTTCAATTGTGTTCTTTTTCTCGTTATTCTAACTAGAAATCTTTTCCAGAAAAAAACTCAAAAATGGATCAAGCAATGCTTCTATTTTTGACAGTTTTTTCCCTTTGAAAAGTTTTTTTGAAATGATTACTTTAAATAAATGTTTTACTTTGAAATCACAGATATTAAGGTTGATTAAAATTCTATTATGGAATTATCTTTTGTTTTTAAATTAACTCAAAGGAATGACTAACTTAAATGCTTAATGGTATTTTTAAGAATGGCATAAATGGTACATTTTCTCACACTGATATTAAAATTATACCTCAGATAATAATTTTTCAAATATATATATTTATTATATATAATTAATAGATATATATAAAGAATGAAGGAAGATAATTACTTGTTCTCTCTTTTTACTGTGAATAAAGAGCGATAAAATGAATATTCATCTTCAAATGACCATTCACTATGAAAACTGGAAGTCATTGGTAATAATCCTGTGGATAGTGGAAAAGGCCTTTTTTATCTAGTTATTACAAAATCGCATACAGCAGAACCTTTCCCATTTTGCCGATTTGCGACAATTTTCCCAAGGTAGAGATTTTTGGTAATTGGGAGAAGAAATGATACAGTGGCCATTTTATTTGGTAATATTATTATTATTATTTCAAATGGCAGGCGTTTTGAATAGTTATCATTAGCCATTTAGCTGACTTCGGGCTTCATAGAGGGAGGAACTTCAAAGTGAGAAAAATTCGAGAGGGGGAACAGAAGAGTGATTCACAGATGTAAGAGAGACAGACAGACAGACACAAAGGTAGGGACAGAGGTGAGGTGAATACTGTGGAGTACAGTTTACAACCCCTTCGCTTTACTTGAACCTTTCATTTAAAACGTCTAGAAAAATTTTAGCTCAAAAAGTTGCATGATAAGAGAAACTTAAAAATGCATGCATCAGTCAAAGGAAACAATAATCTCAAAAAGAAACAATTGCTCAGTTTCATGAGATCAGTCTTTGCGCTGTGGTAACATAAACCATAATTTACCTGCCATCAGGCACCTTCATTGGTGTTCTAGAAACTAACCGATTTCCTTCTGAAATGTTACTAGAGCATGGTACTACAATATATAAGCAAGCTATCTAAGCCAATACGGATCTCGCTTTCAAAATGAAGAAGAAAAATGAAAATGAATTCGAATAACGAAAGTAATGTTCAAAATTCGGGGGTATGCGATAGATTTACCTAGGCAACGCACATACATACAAAAAGTCTATTATTCGACAATTGACTTCTGACTTCAAACTATCATGACACCACTGTATGTCATATTCCACCACCTCCACAGTGCTCACCTTACCTTTTCTCTGCCTTTGTATCTGCCTAACTCTTTTACATCTTTGAACCCCTCTTCTGTCCTCCCTCTCGACTTTTTTCACTTTGATGTTTCTTCCCTCTGTGAAGTCCAAAGTCGGCTAAGGGGCTTAATGATAACCATCATAAAGCCCACCATATGAAAAAAATGTTCAATAATATTGATCAATACAGGTGGCAAAAGGGACTGCGAAATCAGGGCATAGTGTATTTCCTTCTTTAATAAGGTCAAATATTGAATGGTGATGCATTTGCAATTAGACTAATTAGTTTGCATTATTAAACCAAGTGTTATGGAATTTTTGCGCCCAGTGGCTCAGAATGGGATTTACTTAATCATTTACAGTGTAGGCATTATAGCACAAACTCTTATCAACAAAGAAATTTGATTTAATGATAAAAACACCGGAATTTTAAAACGTTCATTCATGGGAAAAACACCAGAGGGAAGTTAGCTCAGCAATAAATTATTGCAGTGGGAAATCAATTGAAATCCAGTTCACTCGATTTTAAGGCCTTTCGGATCAACAACTTTCTCACTTGAATTTTGAAAGACCCTTCGTATGATATAAAAATTCGAATTTTAATACCATAAACCTACTGAACGAATGACTATATGAGTTTGTGAGAATTTTTTTTTCCAGTATGCATTGCATGAAAGTTCTTTCCATTAGGTAGTATAACAAAACTAGCCACCAACTGTCACTATTCTCCACCTTCCCTCCGCCACCTCTCCCCCCTACCTCCTCCGGGTGAGTTTCGAGTGGCTTTATTTTGACTAATTTTATTTCCCTCCATTGGTAGCACCTAAGCAGCGCTCACCATGTGATGCCGTCACGAAAGGGGCATTTCCTTTCAGTAGATTAATCATAATTTGGGCTCTATGAGAGCTCAATAACAGTCCTGCCATATGACTTATGGATAGTTTCTAAATACACTGGATTTTCTAATAATTTCAGAATATCTATTGAAGTAGTATGTTTTCAAAGAGTTACTGATAAACTCAAAGTTAGTCGATCATTTAACCGGCCTTTAGTTAACGAGCACAGAAGCAACTTACAGCTATCAATTACTCAATGACGAGCCTTAAAATGTTAACTTCCATTTCAACAAATCAACCCCGATCTATTCCTTATTAAATACGTGAGAGATAAAATGGTGAATGAGTTCCCAATAATTTTCCCGTTTTCAATTTTAATATCTTCCCTATTTAATATTTGTTGGTGGGAGTAATAAGATAGTGATCTGCTCAACTTTGACGACTTTTGCATCATATTCTTTAAATAAGGCAAAGCGTAGAACTGGTCATTTAATAGAAAAGAATTCACCAATGAAATAGCTGTAGTTTAGCTTACCCCAACAGCTGATTGTATCCACCAATAAGGTCATCCTCACCTTTGCCAATCAGAAATGGCGCAAAATTGTACCTTACTAAATTAAGACACATGTTTAGTGAAGGTATCACTGCATACAAATGGGGTTAAATTTATGGAAGCCATTCAAGTATGCCTGATATAAATCCAGACAAATTTAATCCCTCGAGTGGTAGGATAAATGACAGTGAAAGAAAATGGTCCGCCATAAGAAGATTGAGTGAACAACTGACAGAAGTCACTCTAGCAGCAATGCAAAAGGCGGACGCTAGCTTTCCTGACAAACCTCTGCTCGATGTACCTATATTATCCTGTCCACATTGTCACAAAACAGATCATCACTGCTTCAACGATTCCATAGATGAATCTATAGAGTCTTCAAACTGGCACTCTAGTTTACAGCGTTGCGGAAGATCCAAGAGTGTGGCATTATCTGGTCATGAGCGAGGATGTAAGTACTGTGCGGCCTACTTTTATCAAAATCCACTAAAAGACTATGTCTGGTCGCGACCACATATTCAATCAAACAAAACCGCTTGGCAGCACAGTCGATCTTTCCATTCTCAAAAATCTAGCTTGATACCAGGAGAAGTTGGTACTGATGAAATTCCAATCTTAAGTGGACTTTATCGAGATTTAAAATTCGAAAACCGTAAACGATTTTCTGCAGTTAAAAGGAGATCCAGTTCTCTAACTGAATTGCCCCCAACTTCGTCTCAGCATACTCAAACTATATTCTCCAGTATAACACCAATCAACGAGTTTATAAATAAATCGAGATGCGGATTAAAATCAGGATCTTTCTATACAAAACAAGCCTCAGGTCTTCGATTCCAGTTACCGGCGGCACTTCAGAAATCTAAATCTGTTCGTAAACGTGGGCTTGATTTTGGTCTGCGTAAAACGCTCTCTGTGACAAATGCCATTGTTCGAATGCCTATTGAATCTGCAACATCGTCAAGCAGAAAAAAGTTGGATTATTGTAACACCACAGGTGATCCCTCTGTAAGTCCCCTTCTTTATAATGCAACTTCATCTCCATCAATTCCAAAATCTACTCAGGATACCCCGCTGTATGCTCAATCTAATAAATTTGGAGATGTTAAACAGACCAACATAATTCTAAATGAACTATACAATCCATCAGACACAGGTAGTCTTCGATCCCTACCCACAGACCATATTTTGGATCCCTTGTGTCAAGAGGAAGAATTCTTAAAAGATGGCCACAGAGTATCTATGAACAGAAGGTATAGCCAATCCGACAGGCATTTGGAACAAGATAGAGACTCTATTGAGGATGATGCCGTTCATTTGGATGAGGAAACTTTGTTCAAAGTTGGCAAAAGAGATGTCCGGCTTCAGACAATGGAGGATTTTGAGAAGGAGATCAAGCTTAGCTTTAACATTCCACGAATTTTGAATGAAGAAGACCAAACCAAGGAGCCAGCAGGTGATGTTGAAAGGGACGCTGGATTAGGTTTTGATGATTCCTCAAAGCAAAGATCGAAGGAATATTGGAAGGAACAGTTTCTATTGTTTTTTCAACCATCCGATAACAAACTTGCCAAGAAACTATTTGGCACTAAAGTTGCTCTCAACAAAGAACGCACTAGACAACGGAAACAGGGGAAGTGGATCATTCATCCGGCAAGCAACTTTAGGTAAACCGAATGATTTTGGTTAATAGTTCATACAGTATTTAAAAAAATACGCATGGAACGACACGTACAGTTGCAATTCTATATTTATCCCATGAGTGAATTTATCTAGTAAGCCGCTGTCAATTTCAAGGCTGTCGCTAAGCAATTCACTCGCTTTATTGTCGATAAATATTTAAGTACTATTTTTTATAGGTTGAAGATAAGATCAGCGGTCCTATAATAAAATTAGAGATGAACAGACACTGAGAAGGAAAAAAATGATAAGCATCCATAATTGCCTAGCCATTTTTTTCATTTCAGGAAGCCAGCTTTTCTAACCTACTCAATTTCCTCTCGAAAGCTTAAGTAACTTCCTATTTTGATAATAAGGGTATGAATTAAAAGTCAGATGGTTTCCTACCTTTTTTAATTTCGTAAAATTTAAAATGAGAATCTAAAGAAAATTATTTTACTTCCTATTTTGGCTGCTTATAAACAATGAAAGTTTGATCAAACCCCTCTAACTTCAAGGTTTACCTGTTTCAAAGGACTGTTTTATGGTAAAAATTTATTTTTCATTACAATTGATGTTTGCGACTTCTAGTAATCAAGGAATTGCAGGTTCACAAATGCATAATTTTGAAAATTAATGCTTGATTGTAGCTCAAGACTGATTTCCCGATTATTGATAATCTATTTCTCAAAAACATATAGAAAATTATCTTGTGAATATTTCCCCATTTCATTCAGTCATACCTTTCCTACTTCAGACGCCTCTACTGCAACCAGGCAAAACGGTTTAATTTGGTGAAGTCAGATTTACCATTTTAACGAATGGTTGGATATTAATAATTAATAATCGTAACTGCTTTTCATCTTGACTGTTTTAATTACTTTTACTCTTTAGCATGGCCATTCTTTTCCTTAGGCAAAATGAACCCTGGCGGTAATCCAGTATTAAGTGCTTTCCATTTTCAAATTTTCAAATATTTATTTTATTTATTTCAAATGGCAGGCGTTTTGATAACTATCATTAGCCATTTAGCTGACTTCGGGCTTCACAAAAGTAGCAGAAAGTCGAGGTGTGGGGAACGGAAGAGCGATTCACAGATGCAAAAGAGATAGACGGACACAAAGGTAGAGAAAAA